GGGGGGGGGGGGAGGAGCGGGGCCCGCACCCCATCCCGGGGACAAGGGGACCCCAATTCCTTGACCCCATCCCAGGGGGAGGAAGGGGCAGGGGCACACTCCCAGTCCCCATCCCAGAGGGGAGGTAAGAGGTCCCGGGCTCCTGTCCCTGAGGGGGTGGTGACTGGGGACCGCAGCTCCTGCGGAGGGGGTGCCTATTTGGGGTGCCGGGGGGATCATCTCAGTCCCCCCCTCCCCAGTGGACGGGAACTACTGCCTGACCTGCGGCAGCGACAAGTCCCTGAAGCTCTGGAACCCACACAAGGGCACAGCCCTGCGCACCTACCAGGGGCACGGGTACGAGGTGCTGGATGCCGCCGGGTAAGGGGCAGGGGGCTGTGGGGACCCCCACCCCTCGGGGATCCCCCCAGCCCCACTGACAGGGCACCCCGTCCCCCCCAGCTCCTTTGACAACAGCCAGCTCTGCTCCTGCGGGGCTGACAAGACCGTGGCACTGTGGGATGTAGCCACCGGACAAGTGGTCCGCAAGTACCGGGGACACGTGGGGGTGAGGACATGGGGCAGCGGGGGCGAGGGGTCCGGGGGGACTTGCGGGGGTCAGGGGTCCCTGCAGGGTGCTGACTCCCTGCTTGTTTCGCAGAAAGTGAACTGCGTCCAGTTCAATGAGGAGGCCACCATCATTGTGTCTGGTAAGGAAGCGGTCTCGGGGGGTCCTGCCAGCACCAGAGCCCCCCCTTGACACCCCCTTTTCCCCCCGGCCCCCCACCAGGCTCCATCGACTCCACTGTCCGATGCTGGGACTGCCGCTCCCGCCGCCCTGACCCCGTCCAGGTCCTGGATGAGGCCAAGGACGGCATCTCCAGCGTGAAGGTCTCTGACCACGAGATCCTGTCGGGGTGAGGGATGGGGATGCACTCAGGGGATGGGACACGCTCAGGGGGGACAGGGCCAGCAGGGCCCCCTGGGATCGGGGTCAGCAGGACTCCCCCTGCACTAACACCCCCTCTCTGCAGCTCCGTGGACGGCCGTGTCCGGCGCTACGACCTGCGTGCTGGCCAGCTCTACTCTGACTACATAGGGAGTGAGTGAGGGGGTGTGGGACACCAGCGTGGGGGGTGTCTCCCCAGGACACCCACAAATTCCCATCTGCTTCCAGGCCCCATCACCAGCGTCTGCTTCAGCAAGGATGGGCAGTGCGCCCTGGCTGCCAGCCTTGACTCCACCCTGCGCCTGCTGGACAAGGAAACAGGGGAGCTGCTGGGCGAGTACGAGCCCCCTCCCCATGGCCCTGCGCCCCCCTGGGGGGCTGTGGGGGGGCCCCTACCTCACCCCGTCCCCCCCACAGGTACATGGGCCACCGCAGCATGACGTACCGGCTGGACTGCGTGCTGAGCGAGCAGGACACCCATGTGGGCAGCGCCTCCGAGGATGGCAATGTCTACTTCTGGGACCTGGTGGAGGTGAGTGGGCAAGGGGGGGCCAAGCCTGCACCTGGGGGGTCCCAGGGGAGCCCCCCCACATCCTCACACCCCCCCTGCAGGGTTCACTTGTGCTCAGCCTGGCAGTAGGCCGCAGCGTGGTGCAGTCACTCTCCTTCCACCCCACCCTGCCCTGCCTGCTCACTGCCACCGAGGGCCAGGTCCAGCTCTGGCGCGAGGAGAGCTTCCAGCCTGAGGGGGACGCTGCCATGTGATGCGGGTTTGGGGGGGCACCCGCAGTGCCCATCTGCATCCCCAGGTAACGAAGAATAAACCCACAGTGTGGAGAAACTGCAGTGCTTTATTGGGAGCGCGCAGAGCTGCGCGGACCCCCGAGCAGCTTAAATAAATACAAGCGCTGGGGAGGGGGGAACAGGTGGACCGTGGCGGGGGGGGGGGCACGGACAGGTGGACGGTGCTGCAGGGGTCCCAGCTCCCCCATTCCCCTGCTCGGGGGAGTCACCCCGCGCTCTCCTGCTTGGCACGCACTGGCGTTTGGGACGCGGGGAGCGGCGCCTGGGGCCATTGAGATGGGAGCCCCTGCAGAGGTAGTGGGGGCTCGGCCCTCCCAAATTGGGGGGTTTGCCCCCCACCCGGAGATGGGGGGCTCAGCCCCCAAGGACACTCCACCACTGGCTCAGTCTGCTGGCGTCTCCAATGGAAAGGCATCAGCTCTCTGGGCAAACGTCTCCGCCACCAGCAGCGGAAAGACCAGGGAGGCGTCAGCGTAGACCTAGGCAGAGAAGAGGGGATGAGGATGGGGAAGCCCCCTCCAGGCACCCCAAATTCCGCCCCCCACCCCAGAACCCCCCCCCCATCCCACCTTGACAGGGGTGGCATCCATACGGATCTTGCCCCAAGACACAGCCTCATCCGGCCGCGCCCCCGAGTCGGAGCCGTCGAACTCCTGCGCCGTGTTGACATAGACAGAGAAATCGGCTCCGTTCCTCTGCAGGGTGAGGAGCAGGGTGAGCTCCTGCGCCCCCTCCCCATCCTCGGGGGTGCCCCGCACCCCCTCCCCATCCCCCAGGACACGGGAGGGGCCCCCACCCCCCTCACCATGAGGTTGGCGTTGGCAATGTGGTGCTTCACCAGCCCCCCGCCCAGGATGATCATCCCCGTCTTCCTGGCGAAGATGGCCTGGGTGTTAATGAGGCGCAGGTCTGCGGGCAGAGGCGGCTGTCAGGGGACCCTGGTGCTGGGGGGGGGACACCCTGGCATCAGGGGGGCAGGACCCCAGCGTCGGCAGCAGGGTGGGGACGGGACCCTGGCATCTGGGGACACACTCACCCTCCACAATGTCGAGCACCAGCCCCGGGTGTTTGTAGGAGTGGAAGAAGATCATGTCTCCCAGGGAGCCATCAGTGAGAGCCGGGCTCAGCACCGGGATGTTGTTCTGGAAAGGGGACGCGGTGACGGGCAGTGACACCCACGGTGACGCCCGCAGTGACCACCCCCCCCATCCCCACCTACCTTCTGCGCCCAGTAGCAGACTGACTCGGGGTTGTTGATCTCCTTGCCCAACCGCGCAATCATCCTGGAGGGGGTCCACCTCACGCCCTGCCAGACCACCACGCTCAGGACCCCCAGCCAGGGAGGACCCAGCTGCCCGGGCCCCTCGCACCCCCCCCCCCGAGCCAGGGAGGGCCCAGGGGTCCGGGCCAGCCACCCCCACCTGCGTTTCCTGCTCGTCCACCATCTGCTCCAGGATAGGCATTAGCCAGTCTTCGAACTTACAGTAGTTGTCGTTGGGCACCAGCAGGTTCCCAATCCTGGGGAAGGAACAGTCTCAGCCCAGGAGGGGACCCCGGTGTCTGGGAGAGGACCCCAGCACCCCATACCTGTTGATGCCGCTCTGGCGCAGGTCCTGGCCCCGCAGGCTGAAGTCCCCGATGTAGGTGGGCGCCAGGCACTTGATGAGGTCCTCCTCCACCCCCCCCGCCGTGGTCACCAGCACGTCCACCTGCCCCGGGTGGCGACGGCGTCAGGACTTCAGGGACACCCCAGGGAGAAGGCGGGGGGGGGCTCGAAGGACCCTAGAGCAAGCTGGGGGACACCTCGGGGCAGGGCTGAGCCCCCAGGAATGCTGGGGACCCCAAAGGCCGTGAGGGGACAGGGGTGGGACCCCAGGACCAGGCTGGGGACCCCCCCGGATCTGACAGGGACCCGAGGAACAGCTTGGGGACCTCGGGGATGCCCTCGGGAGCCACGCATCCCCCTGGGAACCCTGCAGGGACCTCAGGGACAGGGCGGGGACCTTGGGGTCGGCCCGGGAGACACCCCAAGGACCTGAGGGTTCCCCCCTCGCACCCCACCAGGGACTTCGGCGACAGCCCCGGGGCAGGTGGAGCCCCGGCCGGACCCCGCCGCCACGCCAGGCCCCACACACCATGTTGTGCTGCACCAGGTAGCGGATAGTCTCCCGGACGCCGGAGCTGATGAGGTTGGAGGTGAAGCCCAGGAAGATGGTGCAGCCCGAGGGGGGCCGGGGCCCCCCCAGCCCAGCCCGGCTCCGCTCCTCCTCGCTCAGCGGCTCCAGCTTCGCCGCGATCTGCGGGCGCGGGGGGGGCGGTGGTCAGGACCGGCTCCAGCCGCGCCCCGGACCCCCTCCCGTCGCCCCGGGACCCCGCCGCCCCCCGGCCCCGGCGCGCCCACCATCCGGTGGATCTCGGCGACGGCCTGGGCGAAGCTGGTGGCCTGGAAGCCGGTGGTACGGAAGGAACGGAGCAGCGCGGCGTGGTCCGGGCCGCCGGCGAAGTCATACCCGCGCACCGGGAGGCTCTCGCCCGGGAGGGGCCCGCTCGGCTTCAGCACGGCCCGCAGGGCCGCGGCGGGGGCCTGCCCCGGCGTCGCCATGGGGCTCCGGCCGCCTTCACTCCGCCGCGCCGCCGCTGCGCGCCGCCATCTTGGCCCGCCCCCACCAGCGCCGCGCCGCGCACTGCGGCTGCGCGCCGCCATCTTCCTGCCACCCTCCCCCCGCTCTCCGCCGCACAGCTGCGCGCCGCCATCTTGAAGACGGGACGGTGGCCGCGGAGGGGCAATCGACTCCCAGAAACGAAGGGCCTCGCCTGCGGGGATGGCACTGGACGGCGGTTACCCCGAAACCTCCCCCAAACCGCCCAACTTCGCCCCAAAACCACGGATGCCCCCGCGGGGGGGGGGAAGACGACGACGGCACACGCAACCTCCGCTCCAGTCAAATCCTTTTAATACCAATGAACAGGCAGCAACTTCCAGCCCCACCAAGGGCCCAAGGCTGGGCCCGTCTCCTCCATGTCGGGGGGGGGCACAGATGGGACCCCGCGCCCGGCGGGAGACAGACCCCCCCCCCGGCGCCGGGGAGCCCCCCCAGCCCCGCTTCCCAGGCAGTGTGAGAGTGTGAGCATGTGGCCATAGCGGCATGTCAGGTCCGGAGCCTCCACACCTCGACCGAGAGGCCTCCCGAGGCAGCTGCCACCACGTCGCCCTCCACGCTGATCTGGGGGGGAGGTCGAGAGGAGCGGGGGGGGGGGGCGC